ATAAGTTCCACACCACCAAGTACATATACAGCTATCCTCGAAACAGGTAATAAAGTAGATTGTTCGTGTATCCTAGATGTCTGTCAGTCCATGCAGATTGACACCCTCTAAAGCAATGGTCACATGAATGTGGGACTAACACTACACAAATGCCAGCGCGTGATGCATAGTGACTACAGCAAAGTGGTCTTAGGTAAGTTGGGCATGAATCGCAGTCTGGCGAGAAGCACGCTGTCCCATCGACCACTATTGCCAGACGTTGAGACCTTACGCGCATATTGTGGAGCTCCGATTGGTTCCTCCTCGTACTTGGGCCCGCCAAAGAAAGATGACGATATGTTGAACGAGAATGAGAACTCGCCCTAAGGGCAACCATTGCGCGTTGCTGAGAAGACATGGAAGTTGACTTGACCATTGGGATACTCGTGACTGATGAAGAGTGCATAGTCCTGAGCCTTGAGCGTGCCAATGACTACATAACAAGTCATGTCAAAGAGCGGATGTGCTAACGTGAAGAAGATATAGGTGTACCGAGATACAAGTCTTCCTTTGTTATGCGGTGCTCCGCCTCGTAGATCACCAGGACGTTGTCCGTGCCTTGAACCACTTCTTGGATGTAACAGGGTCCTCCATGTACCTATACACCATGGACTCGGTGAAAAGATTTGCAGCCTTATGTCCAGAGCGCAAGGGGGAAGAGTACCGGCGGCTAGAGGTTATACGTCGTCAGTGCACTGATCGCATGGACAGCAGCGCGCGATGAACGTACGAATAGGTCGCCTCTCCAGCACGATTTCTTGGACCCAGCCATGACTGGATCAAGTCCATGCCCCGCTGGGCAACATTGCGCTTATCCTGACGCTGGCTGCCTTGGCTCACGCGCCCGTAACCATACAAAGATGGTATGTTCTTCACTCGACCGTTCGACGACTTTTCCGGCTCAAACGAACTAAACAATGTCACGAATTCGCCGTAATTCGCCTTGCTGTGGTACCCGACCGCCCCGATAAGCACCTGCGACGGCATCCACAGCGGAAGTGTTACTAGACTTATATAGTTAGCTCATGCAGATGGCATCGGAATATGAGGCATACGTACGCGATGGGTGGAATTCGTATTGAAGGAGCATCCTGTACCAACGCTCATCGCGGATATTTTGAGCACGCTCGTCCGGGGGAGGAGAGACGTGTCGCGGGAATTCTATGTGCTCTGACGATTGACTGTCTTGGAGGGACGCGCGACTGCTTGTTCGGCTCAGGTCTGTGTCCGGACCCTTGTGATCGCGATGGTCATCGTGGTAGTCGTGAGAGTGCCCCGTCACAGATTCAAGTTCTATGGCGGTCATGAACGACACGTCCGTCGAAGGGGCTGATCCCACCTCGACAAAAGAGGCAGTGACTTCATCTAGAGGACGTCAGCTTTTAATCAGATCTATCGCGAGAGAGAACTCACCAGGAAGTAGAGAGAGCGGTATGGGATGCATATCCGGCGACTTGCGCGTCTTCATCTGTTCGAGCCCCAAATGACGCGACGCGGGCGACTCCTTCAGCCGCTGAACGTCTTTGTCAATCTTGAAGAACGGCGGACGCATAGTGGAGTCACAATGCCAGCATGAGTGGAGAATCTCCGAAAGCTGCTGAGACCAGACGCGCTGCAGCGGCAGCTCTGGGCGCATGTTCTCGCCTACAAAGTCGTGACCAATCTGCACACTAAGTAACGATGGAGTGTGACTTACGGAGGACAAAGTGCCTCACGGCGTCATCATCGGCCATGGGTCAGGGGAGCGCTCCTTTGGTAAGGAGCTCGACGACAGTGATTGCGAACACGTACACGTCGATCTCCTGCGTGAGCCCGCTTTGGGCTGACATAAGCTCCGGAGCCTGCCAGCGTAGAGTGCCGTCTACTCAAGACAAGTTCCATAAGTACATGAGGTGTAAGACGACGAAAGGGCACGTACGGGGAAGGGGCCGCCCGCTAACACGGTACGCCTCCGATTTCATCTCGCTCTGCCCAAAGTCAGAGATGATGCAGTGGTGCTTGTCGTTGACGAGCACGTTCGGGGCCTGTCCGGGAACATGAATATTTAGCTCTCCGATTCGTGCTCTGTGTTCCGGACTTCAGTGCTACCAAATCACGTACCTTGAGGTCTCCGTGCAACACGCCTTGACTGTGGAGGTATGACATTCCTTTTGCGATTTCGTGAACCATCTTGAGTAAGTCGACATTGTCCAACGACGGTAGCCCTTTCAAGTAGGTCACGAGACTGCCATTCTTGTAGTAGGGGCTAACAAAGAACCAAGGAGGGTCGCTGGATGCCGAGGACGCGCCAAGAAGTTCGCAAACGTTCAGGTGCTGCAGCGTCTTCCAGATCGACACCTAGACAAACCAAATCGGCGATGCGATTCACCAGGACACAGGTCAGCACACAACCACCCACAAGCAAAATCAAGATTCGGACAAATAGAGTAAGGGCTCGAATATGAATGAATAGACAATGAAAAGGGAGCCGCTGCCTAGATAAACACCGGCCGCATCCAATGACGATCCGTTAGACCCATTGAAGCACAAAGATCTTGCAGGGGAGCTGCCCTCAAGATGCAAGGACGGGTAAACTCAATGTCGAAAATCTGAACCCAAGGCATGCTCGCGTCGGCTCCACGGTACGTACGCAGATAGCAATCGGCGGTCATGGCTAAAATGCAACACCAATACACCTCCGCCGCCTCCGACCACCACCTAGACTGCTGCACGAACTGGGAAAAGTACACACCTGATGCACGAAGAGCTGCCTCGGCGTCGTCGGCGCGAGCACCTTGATCGCCACAACATGGTTCCTCCACGTGCCTTTGTACACGTCGGAGAAGAAGCCCATGCCTATCTTCTCATTCCGCTTGACCTCGTACCTGGTAATCGTCCAGCTCAGCAGCGTCACCTCCGCTCTGCTCAGCCGCCGGAGCGCGTCAATCCCAGTCTCGATAAACTCCCGGTCAAGTGTGTCGCGCGGCGCGCGGGAAGACCTTCCGGCAGAGCTCGCGACTGAGCCTGACGTCGTGCCGCTGCTTTCCGTGCTGTGCACCGTCGCGGACTAAGTAAGGCCGGGATTGTCCAATTGGGCGATCTGGGGCGCGCTGACCTCGACGGCCGCGACGTTCGCGGACACCAGAACAGCCTCCTCCTCCAGACTCTCGCGTTCGACTTCCTTCTCAAGAGCGCGCTGAAGCATCTTGATAGCTTCAGGCATTTCGTCACGGCCAACCTGGAGGACAAGAATCATCTCCCCGTCGTTGTTCGCCTGCAGCGCGGTGCGCATGAGCTGGCGTAGGTCGGCGGTGTCGTAAACTATGTCGCGCTCATTCTGGCATGCGGTGACTGCCTGGAGCTGTGCGAGGATGTGCCACGAGTCATCGTGACCTTCAGTGGTATCAGGCTCTATTGTGAGCAGGAGGTGGTTGGACGGAGCGGGTGAGATCGCGCGTGCATACGCCGAAGACTCTATGGGGATCGAGTGCGATCCTTGAACGTTGTGGCTGATCGAGTCGAGAAGCGCAGCGGCGTCGGCTTGACGCTGACGCTCTGCAGCGACTACCTGCTTGAGAATACGTATCTGAATCGAGGTCTATAAACCAAGTATAAGATATCCGGACGCGCAGGTGAGCTTCGCAATGGACGCACGTTGAACATGCCGAGGGCATCGGTCAGACTACTGTGGCAGGCACCGAGAGCGCGCTGGATCTCATCGCGCTGCAGGTAACGTTTGATGAATGGGCGATGGGACGT